CTGTAACTCTTGCTCGATGATCTGCTACTTGTTCATGTACCTCCTTCTCTTCCAGCACTTTCTACTGCCTCTAGCTTAACTGAAACCTAGCTTCCCATTCCTTCTCACCAAGCTCTCTCAAGCAGAGAAGGCTGCTTATTTTTACACGCTAGGTATCTCAGGCTTTGGCAACTGGGGTTAGCAACATCTTTGTTCCCCTTGTGCTGCCTCCAATTTTCCTCCATCCTTGTGAAAAGCTGACTCTAAAGAAGTGCAACCACAGGTCCTTAGGCAAATGAAGTTCAAGCTTGTTGGTCACCACCCTGATCCCTTCATGCTTTCCCAGTCACCATCCTTATTCACCAAAGGAGGCTCAAGGTTGCCCTTTTCTGGCTCTTCCTCATCTAACCAACATAAAAATGTTGGCATTCCCAGGTTTGGTCAGATCTTTACTTTTCTCTTCTACCCCTTCCCTTAGGTCTGGGCTTCTCAACCTCAGTACTACTGAAATCTGGGGCTGTGTAATTCTTCGTTGGGGGAAAGTGAGGCTGTCCTGTGCAGTACAGGATGTTCAGCAGCATCCCTGGTCTGTCCCTAGAGGCCAGCAGGAACTTCAGCAAAGAACCACTGCCTCAGGTGATTCTATGTGTTCTTATGGCCTCAAATCTCTCTGCTTATAGCTAGGTTCCTGACAACTCTTGGGCGTCTCAGAGCAATCTCAGTCCTAATTAACATGTACCAGTTGAATCTCTCTTCAAATTCACCCAGTCCCAAGTCTTCATCATCTTAGTAAATGGCCTAACCTAGAACTGGGAGCTATCTCTGTTGCTTCCTGTATCTAATCCATCAGTACCACCAATAAATTCTACCCCCTAAATTTGCTCTCAAATCTGTGTGCCTTCCTCCTTCACCTGAGACCAAACCATGATGATCTCTCACTGGCATGCATGCAGTCACCTCCTGACAGGTGTTCCTGCTTCCATTCTCCCTGCCAAACGGTCTGTTCTCCACAGATCAGCCAGAGTGATCATCCCACTCGAACCACTCCTTCACTAAAAATCTTAAAACATCTCCTATTCACTTAATATAAACCTAAACTCCTTATTTAGCATCAGCAGGCATTGGATCTGGGCACTAGATGTATATGAAATAACAAATCAGACAACCTCACTGTCCTCTCTAATGAGAAGCAGATAGTAAACAAATCAAGAGCCCAATCACTTCCCTCATAGCCCCTTTATTCACCTCCCAAACAGGTTCCCACATCCACTGTTCCCACAAATACCTATTCAATTATGACCTTGAAACATTCCCCCTCACTCATCCTTCAGCCCCCTACTGCTGTCAATCACACAAGGACCGGCACAGCCCATAAAATCCCCCCTGGCCTGGGCCTTGCATAAACTCTGAACCTACCACTCCGCACCTCACTATTAAGCCCAACAACACTACCCTGCCAGAACACTCCAAGCTGCTTTAAAAAAAAAGAAAAGAAAGAAAGAAAAAAGAGACAGGGTTTTGCCATGTTGCCCAGGCGGGTCTCAAACTTGAGCAGACCCCAAGCAATCCTTTTGCTTTAGCCTCCCAAATAGCTGGAAGTACGGGTGCACGCCCCTGTCCCTGGCTATCCTAAGCCCTTTACCCCTCAGTGCCTTTACATTTGCAGAAAGCAAACAACATCATTAGGCACAACTTATTTTTTCTTTTTGAGACAGGGTCTCATTCTGTGCCCCCAGGCTGGAGTGCACTGGGGCAATCATGGCTCACTGTAGCCTTGACTTCCCCAGGTTCAGGTGATCCTCCCACTTCCGCCTCCCCAGTAGCTGGGACTACAGTAATATGCCACCACACTCCGATAATTTTTCTTAGAGAAAGGGTGTTTCAACACGTTAACCGGGCTGACCTTGAACTCCAGGGCTCAAGCGATCTGCCCGCCTCAGCCTCTCATAAGTGCTGGGATTACAGGCGTGAGCCTCCGTACCCGGCCTAGATCAACTTTTATAATGTATTATGATTCAGCTTTAAACACCTGAGTTGCATTTGACAAGTGACCAAACGATTAGCCAGATAGCCAAAATTCATGGAAGTAACTCTGGCAAAGATGGATTTTGGCTCTTATCCATAAACTTCTTGGAAAAACCTTAGTGCAGAAGCCACTATTGAACATTCACAGATTCAGAGTCAAAAAGAAAATTCATGGTCTTTCGAGGCCCTTCCCATGGAGGCATAGTGCAGAAACCATGATTTGGAGTGGGAAGGGAGCTTGCTCCATGGCAGGGAATCTTCATGATCTTCATGCAGCAATATAAACCCTAGTTCCTACAGAACAGTGCATTTCTTTGACCAGCCTTTAGTATCTTGCAGTACGACACCAATCTGTTATAAACTGCTCAAGTTTGTGTAATTTTTTTATGTGTTCCCTCTCCCTCTCTTCCCTTTCCTCACCTTTAGTCTTTCACTTCCAATTTTGTGGGTATTTTAGGAGTAACAGATTTTTAAAGAAGAAGAAAAAAATGACTGAATTTCTTGCTTACTCTGCATATACAGAATGGATATTTTTTTTAACAGCCATTTCCCCACAGGAATGTGTCTTGCGTATTACTGACATTTGGTATGTTTCATTCATTGGAATTAATTCTTATTTTCTACGTGTTTCAAAAGCCTGTGAGAAATACAGGATTTGATAACATTTTGAAGGTAGAAAAAAAACAAATTGTTTCTTCTTTGAGAGTCATGACTACCTTCTGGTGTGGAGAAATTGCCACTGAAAAATTTGACAAGTTTGGTTTTCACTGGTATGTTTAAAAACTTAACAAATAGGATTTTCTTGAACTGTTAGTTTTTTTGAAGTAGAGTTCTTTCATGTTTAATTTGTATTTGTTAAAAACAAAAAACAAAAAAATTCCCAAAACCCAGAGCAAAACTGTTGTGCCTTCTATTTATCTTTGATTTCAGTCTTGGTAATTGTTTAAAGAAAAATGGGAATCTTAAAAAAATCTAGATTTGTTTTATTAGGTTCAGAGTATGTGGGGAATTGTAGAATCCATCTTTCATCACCTTGTATGCCTTCTGTTAACATATTTGTGATGCCTTATTCTAAAATTGAGTCTCCAACTAGATTGCCTTTGAAGACAGATGCTTCTATAGAGGTTCTTTGACCCAAATAGTTCAGCATTTGTTTTAAGTTTTCTTGTATCTAATCAGATTCCTAATCATAGCTCATAAGGAATGTGACTTTAATATTGGACTTTACTGATGTGCTCGTGTCTGCATTTTTTTTCTCTTTAAATCACAGCCATACGATTTTGTTTTCTATTTTGTTACGGTTCTCTTTTATTGATGGGCATGCAGTGGGTATTTCTTGGAAATGGCCACTTTTTATTAAAAATTCTTCTGGAAGAGAAAAGTGTCATGGTCTTTCATCACTGGATGGTTCAGAACTGTTGCTTCCTACCTCACATGGGCACTAAACAACACTTCAGTGAACACCAACACTTTCCATGTCACTGAAATCTCAGGAAGCTAGAAAGCTTTCTTCAAGAAAAGAGAATAACTGGTTCTAAACTCTAAAAAGAAATCCTGGCTGGGTGTAGTGACTTATGCCTGTAATCCCAGCATTCTGGGAGGCTAAGATGGAAGGAATGCTGAGACCAGGAGTTCAAGACCAGCCTGGGTAACACAGTAAGACTCCATCTCTACAAAAAATTAAAACATTGGCTGAGCATGATGACGCATGACTACAGTCCCAACTTCTTGGGAGGCTGAGACAGGGAGTCTCCTTGAGCCTGAGTTTGAGGCTGCTATGATTGAGCTATGATGGAGCCACTCCAGCATGGGTGACAGAGCAAGACCCTGCCTCAAAAAAATAAATTGAAAGAAATCCCTAGGATTCTTATGATATGTGATCAATATGTATATTTTGATACAACTTACAATCAATTGTTAAAAAATTATCCTTAGTCTACTTGATTATAATTCTAGCTCAATATCTGTCCATCAGTTAAACAAAAGTCACAATAAAGAATGGCTTTATTAGCTCCATTAGTGAGATATTTCAGTGAAGTAAGTAGATTTAAATACTTCACAATAATACGCTGGGCACATTGGCTAATGCCTGTAATCACAGCACTTTGGGAGGCTAAGGCAGGAGGGTCACTTGAGGTCAGGAGTTTCAGACTAGCCTGGCCAACATGGCAAAACCCCATCTCTACTAAAAATACAAAAATTAGCCAGGCATGGTGGTGTGTGCTGTAATTTCAACTATTCAGGTAGCTGAGGCACAAGACTCACTTGAACTCAGGAGGCTGAGGTTGCAGTGATCATGCCACTGCACTCAAGCCTGGGCAACAAAGTGGGACCCTGACTCAAAAGATAGATAGATAGATAAATAAATAAATAAATACTTCACCATAGTAAATATAAAGTAGTACAATCATAATTTACAGCTAATTATAAGCTTTAAATTTGTGCCAATTAAACCGTACTTGTATTCCCAGAAGGACACAGCATCTGTACAACTCTATGTAAATATACTGAGCACATGGAAAGTGTGATATTTTCAGTTTTAGGACACTATTTCTGGATATTACATGAGGGATGAGCTCCAATAAAACAAATGTGTAAACCACACACATTACAAATACCAAGAATAATTACTTACTATTTTAAGAAAAATCTACTTGGTGGAGCACGGTGGCTCACGCCTGTAATCCCAGCACTTTGGGAGGCTGAGGTGGGTGGATCACCTGAGGTCAGGAGTTTGAGACCAGCCTGACCAACATGGTGAAACCCCATTTCTACCAAAAATACAAAATTAGCTGGGTGTGGTGGCGCATGCCTGTAATCCCAGCTATTTGGGAGGCTGAGGCAGGAGAATCACTTGAACCCAGGAGGCAGAGCTTGCACCATTGCCCTCCAGACTGCGCAACAAGAGTGAAACACTGTCTCAAAAAAAAGAAAAAATAATAATAATAATAATAATAAATAGAGAAAAAACTACTTACAAGAGACAATATACTTACAAGAGATAGCAGCAAACTGAACAGGTCACCAACATGGTAATGATAACTCTAAAAAAAGGAAAACAAAAATGTCATTAAATAACTAGCAAACTACACAAACATCACAGAATGGTTTAAGTCCCCTTTCCAAATTATCACACTGGCATGGATTATTTACCAAGAAAATGGATCTGCATCTGCTCAAATATCCAGCAGACTGCAGTGTGCCCAGGATGCACCTGGGATAAGTTTATGTAATTAAACATTTGCATTTAAAGAGATATGTGTTGATGCCACAGTGTAGATGTCCAATCCAAATTTATCTGAAACTGAACAGGAAAGGCCACAGTGACAATTAGTTTTGACACCTAAGTAATTACCCTATTTGGTAGTATTCTCTGTAATGAAGTAACATTGTACTTTTAAAAATATGACTCTCTAGTGGTGAGCTCTTCCATCTCCATTCATGTCTGAAAGTTAAACTTTGATCTCTCATCAGCAGAATTTCAACATTTCTAAACCTCAGTTCATGCTATTCTCTTTCCATTTCTCTTTCTAAAAACTCTCCTTCTAAATCTCCTACTCCTCAGAATAAGCTCTGCCATTTCCACCCATCCGAACCACCCTCAAATCCATCATCTTTTGCTCATGCCTCCTCTGCACTTCCACAGTCACCAAATACTGTGAATTCATACTTCAAAGCATCTCTCCCCATGTGTATTTTCTTCTTCCCATTCCCACTGTCAGCAACAAAATTCACCTGGTTCCCCTGGCTAAGTAACCGCTGGCAGAGTCAAACTTCCCTCCTCCTCCTTCATTCTATAAACAATCACCAGGATTCTCCACTTAAGACCTTTCAGGGCCAGGTGCGGTGGCTCAAGCCTGTAATCCCAGCACTTTGGGAGGCCAAGACAGGCAGATCACCTGAGGTCAGGAGTTCAAGAACAGCCTCGCCAACATAGTGAAGCCACAACTCTACTAAAAGTACAAAAATTAGCTGGGCATGGTGGCGGGTGCCTGTAATCCCAGCTACTCAGGAGGCTGAGACAGGAAAATCACTTAAGCTTGGGAGACGGAGGTTGCAGTGAGCCAAGATCATGCCATTGCACTACAGCCTGAGTGACAGAGTAAGACCCTGTCTCAAGAAATACAAAAAATAACTTTCGATGCCCCTCCGCCCATCATCCATCATTTGGTTTCCAAGAGGCATGTCCACACCCTAAGAAGAACAAGACCATTTCCTAGAACTTGGGAACCAAATATTGTAACTCCTATTTTTTTAGAGACAGGATCTCTGTCGCCAGGCTGGAGTGCAGTGGCGTGATCACAGCTCCCTATAACCTACAAATCTTGGGCTCAAGAGAACCTCCCGCCTCAGTTTCCTGAGTAACTAGGACTACTAGTGTGTACAACCAGGCCTGGCTAGCATCTGTAATAGAGATGGGCGGGAGGGGTCTTGATATATTGACCTGGTTATATTTGAACTCTTGGCCTCAAGTGATCCTCCTGCCTCAGCCTCCCAAAGTGCTAGGATTACTGGTGTGAGCCACCATGCCTGACCCAGAACTCCTATTTTTATTTATTTTTAACTCATCCCCTAGAAGGGGTGTGTGTGTGTGTGTGTCTGTGTGTGTGTGTGTGTCTGTTTTGAGACAGTTTCACTGTGTCACCCAGACTGGAGGGCAGTGGCACAATCTTGGCCTCACTGCAAACTCCACTTCCCAGGTTCAAGCGATTCTCGTGCCTCAGCCCAAGTAGCTGGGATTATGGGCATGCATCACCACACCCAGCTGATTTTTGTATTTTTAGTAGAGATGGGGTTTGCCATGTTGCCCAGGCTGGTCTTGAACTCCTGGCCTCAAGCGATCCTCCCACCTACGCCTCCCAAAGTGCTGGGATTACAGGCATGAGTCACTTTGTGTGTATTTTCTTTGATTAATACATTGGCACATTCATTTACTCATTCAACAGATTTTTACTCACTGAGTGTCCAGTATGTATTAGGCTCTGGGGAGACAACAGTAAACAAAATAGATAAAAACCCCTGCCTCAAAAAAAGAAAGAAAATAAAAACCATGCCTCACGAAGCTTATGTGCCACTGGCAGAGATAGACAACAAACAGGGTGAACACACAACAAACAACAATTATCCACCTATATATGCCAGATGGTCAGTAAGTGCTGATGGAGGAAAATAAGGCAGGAAAAAAGAGACAGAGTCTATCAGGGCTTGGAGATTGTGGCTGAAATTTTAGGAGATGGTCAGGAAAAGCCTTGCTGAGCAGGTGGCGTCTCAGTGCAGACCTGAACAAGGTGACAGAGCACTCCAGGCAGAATTAATCTCAAAGGCAGGGGGTGAGAAAGCACCTGGTGTTGAAAGAGGAAGGAGGTCTGTGTATGGCTGGAGCAGAGAAAGGATCCTGGGGAAAGGTGAGGTCAAAGAGGTGCCCTGTGGCCTCTGAAAGGACTTCCACTCTTAAAAGGCTTTGACTCTGAGTGAAAAGAGAAATTATTTGGAGGAATTTAAGGAGAGGACTGATAAAATCTGATTTGAATTCTAATGGGATCTCTCTGCTGGGATGAAAGAGACCGGGGAAGAGGGGCAAAAAGCAAGCAGAGAAACCAGTTGAGAGGAATTATAATAATCCAAGTAGATCAGGCTGGCAGCACTGATCAGTAAGAGTTGGTCAGATTGTCTGAAATGCATAATTTATACACTACACTTATAAAATATAAATAAATATGTATGGGGGATTGTGCTAAATAAATTTTGACAGGTGCACAATAAAAACATTTGAAGACCTACAGAATCAAGTCCACTTCCTCATTTGTAACTCCCTCCAACCCATCCTTCTCACCTCTCCCTAAGTTCAAACATCAGTCCTTCATTCCTGAAGGCGCAAGTGCCTTCGATGTCCCCCAAAACCCCTTATGTCTAGGATTCTCAATTCCAAGCTTTTATTCATCTTCCCCCATTCCGTGCCCCACTGTGGAATCTCTTCCCTGTCTTCTCTCTTCTCCAAAAGACCATCTCAGAGAACTGAAAGAGTTGAGGCTCTTTTGTATCGCCTGTTTAATATTAATAGTTACATATAAAAGCTCCCTCATTGACGTGTCAGCTCCTAATGTACTTGGTCTTAGGAGCTGCATGCTGAGTGGTGAAATGCCACAGTAACTGCAATTTACTTTCAAATGGTTCAGCAAAATTATATACGCACACACTCACGGATAACGCAAATATGAATACGTTAAACAATAACTGAATCTAGGTGATAATATATGGCACTTATTGTACTACTCTTCCTGCTTTTCTGTATGTTTGAAAATATTCACGAAAAAAGGGGAGTTAGCTGGGCACAGTGGCATGCCTGTAGTCTCAGCTACCTGGGAGGCTGAGGGGGGAGGATCACTTGAGCCCAGGATATCAAGAGTGCAGTGAGATATGATCACGCTACTGCACTCCAGGCCTGGACAACACAGGGAGACCCTTTAAAAAAAAAAAAAAAAAAACAGGCATGGTGGCTCACACCTGTAATCCTAGCACTTTGGGAGGCTGAGGCCAGCTGTTTAAGACCAACCTGGCCAACACAGTGAGACCCCATCTCTATTATTATTATTTTACTATTTTTTAAAATTTTTGAGATGGAGTCCCCATCTGTCACCCAGGTTGGAGTGCAGTGGCACAATCTCAGCTCACTGTAACCTCCGCCTCCCAGATTCAAGCAATTCTGCCTCAGCCTCCCAAGTAGCTGGGATTACAGGCACGCACTACCACGCTCAGCTAATTTTTGTATTTTTAGTAGAGACGGGGTTTCACCATGTTGGCCAGGATGGTCTCCACCTCCTGACCTCATGATCTGCCTGCCTCAGACTCCCAAAGTGCTGGGATTACAGGCATGAGCCACCATGCCTGGCCAAGACCCTGTTTTGAAAAACAAATTTAAAAAAACTTCAGCCAGGCATGGTGGCTCACACCTGTAATCCCAGTACTTTGGGAGGCTGAGGAGGGCAGATCACCTGAGGTCAGAAGTTCGAGACCAGCCTTGCCAATATGGCGAAACCCTGTCTCTACTAAAAAATACAAAAATCAGCCGGTGATGGTAGCACATGCCTGTAATCCCAGCTACTCAGGAGAGTGAGGCAGGAGAACTGCTTGAGCCCAGGAGTTAAGATGGTTAAGAAGTTAAGATGGTGCCATTGCACTTCAGCCTGGGCAACAGAGTGAGATTCTGTTTAAAAAAAAAAAAAAAATTCATTAAGGAGATAAAGAAACCCTTTGAGGAGGAAAGAAGAGAGAAAAACAGACATATTTGATGTTAAATTCTCTTCCCCAAGAGACCCCTGCACACCAGAATGCTGAAAGTTGGGTGATTAGAAGGTTATAGGACCTGATGAGGCAGTGAAAAGAAAGGGCAGAAGGGAGTTTTTTTAAGAGACAGGGGTCTCACTCTGTTGCCTAGGCTAGATAGCTCACTGCAGCCTCGATGGAGGCTCAAACAATCCTGAGCTCAATTCTGAGCTCAAACAATCCACCTGCACAGCCTCTTGAGTATCTGGGACCAGAGGTGTATACCACTATGCCTAAATAATTTTTGAAAGATTGTTTTTGTAGAGACCAGGTCTCACTTTATTGCCCAGGCTGGTCTTGATTTCCTGGCTTCAAGTGATCCTCCCACTTCGGCCTCCCAAAGTGCTGGCGTGAGCCACCATGTCAGGCCCGTTTTTATTTTTTGAAGACATTTTCGATCATTTAAATCAGAAATACTCTCCTGTATTAAAAATTCACCACAAGCCAGGTGCAGTGGCTCGAACCTGTTATCCCAGCACATTGGGAAGCCATGGTGGGCGGATCACTTGAGGCCAGGAGTCCGGGAACAGCCTGGCCAACATGGCAAAACCCTGTCTCTACTAAAAACACAAAAATTAGTTGGGTGTGGTGGTGTGCACCTGTAGTCCCAGCTACTCTGGAGGTTGAGGCACAAGAAGTGCTCGAACCTGGGAAGTAGAGGTTGCAGTGAGCCAACATTGTGTCACCAGCACTCCAGACTTGGTGACAGAGCAAGACTTTGTCTAAAAAAAAAAAAAAAAAAAAAAAAAAAAAATTGCAGTATTTTCAAGAGGTAAAGGGGAAGTAGTACAATTCAACACGAATATTCCTTTAAAAAAAAAAAAAAATCCCCAGGAAAAAAAAATCCTCACAGAAAGGCATATTTCCATTTTAAAATGAGGAAATGGGAACATGGAAAAGTTAACTAAATTGTACACTCATATTTCCTTTTAAAAAAATCCCTACAGAAAAGCTTATTTCCATATTAAAATGAGGAAATGGAAACACGGAAAAGTTAACTAAATTGGGCACTCATATTTCCTTTTTAAAAAAATCCCTACAGAAAAGTATATTGCCATTTTAAAAGGAGGAAATGGGAATATGGAAAAGTTAACTAAATTGTTCAAGGTCACAGGGATCATCAACCTAGGTGCGGTGTTTCTCAAAATGTATTATAGCAACTCCTAGGAGAGACACTGTTCCAAGACCTGCTTGATCCAGCCAAGAGCAGGAAATGCAAGGACTGCAGCAGAGGCTGTGAACTGGGCTCAGGCAATACAGGAACTTGGCAATCGGCACATAATGACCTTTCGGTCAATGACTGCATAAATGACAGGTGGTCCATAGGATTATAATAGAGCTGAAAAATTCCTATTGCCTAGTGATATCTTGATGATCCTGAACCTGTGTAGGCATGAATAATATGTGTGTTTGTGTCTTAGTTTTTAACAAAAATGTTTAGAAAGTTAAACAAAAATTTAAGTGGAAAAAAACTTACAGGATAGGATATAAAGAAAAAAAATAAGTTGGGTGAGGTGGCTCATGCCTGTAATTCCAGCACTTTGGGAGGTGGAGGTGAGAGGCCTGACTGCTTGAGGCCACGAGCTGGAGACCAGCCTGGGCAACAAAGCGAGACCCTGTCTCAAAACAACAACAAATTAGCTGGGTGTAGTGATGCATGCCTATAGTCCTAGCTAGTGGGAGGCTGAGGTGGACGGATCCCTTGAGCCTTGGAGCTCAAGGCTATAGTGAGCTATGATGGAGCCACTGCACTCCAGATTGGGTGACAAAGACTGTCTCTTTAAAAAAAAAATTATACAGCTGTACAATGTGTGTCTGTGTTTTGATTTGTTCTCAAATACTCTTACATGTACAATGTACAACAGGCTCCAAGACAACATTCTGACTACAGGTGGCAAAAGATGTCATAGCAGGGGGCCATGTGTAGCAGCTCACACCTGTAGTCCCAGCACTTTGGGAGGCTGAGGCAGGCAGATCACTTCAGGTCGAGTTCAAGACCAGCCTGGCCAACATGGTAAAACCCTATCTCTACTAAAAATATAAAAATTAGGCCGGGCGCAGTGGCTCAAGCCTGTAATCCCAGCACTTTGGGAGGCCGAGGCGGGTGAATCACAAGGTTGAGAGATTGAGACCATCCTGGTCAACATGGTGAAACCCCGTCTCTACTAAATACAAAAAATTAGCTGGGCATGGTGGCTCGTGCCTGTAATCCCAGCTACTCAGGAGGCTGAGGCAGGAGAATTGCCTGAACCCAGGAGGCGGAGGTTGCGGTCAGCCGAGATCGCGCCATTGCACTCCAGCCTGGTTAACAAGAGCGAAACTCCGTTTCAAAAAAAAAATATATATATATATATAAAAATTAGCCAGGTGTGGTGGTAGGCACCCTCCCACCTACTCAGAAAGCTTAGGTAGGAGAATTGCTTGAATCCAGGAGGCAGAGGTTGCAGTAAGCAAGATTGTGCCACTGCACTCCAGCCTGAGTGACACAGTGAGAGTCCATGTCAAAAAAAAAAAAAAAAAAGATGTTATAGCAGGTAATCCAGATGTTTAAATACAAATGGAATCAAGGGTCACCATCGATTGCCTCAGGCACATGAAATAGTTTGCTTTTTGCCAGATTTCTTAATTCTACTTATGGCCAGGGGCCCCTTCCCTGTGGCCTTTGCTTTTAGATCCTCCAGTTTCCTCGACTCCTCTTTTTGTTTAAAAAACTTATCTTCCACATCCATCTCCTTGACCTGCTTTTTGGGCTGTTTCAGGGGCTTCTTCCTGCCACCTATGACGGTGGACATGGCACCTGCAGCCTCTTCCCCAGACTCTGCCACTGGACTTGTTTCATTTTTGAAGAGACAGGATCTCACGGTTGCCCAGGCTGGGGTACAGTGGTATGATCAAAGCTTACTGCAACCTGGAACTCTTGGTCTCAAAACACTCCTCCTCCCTCAGCCTCCCCAGTAGCTAGGACCATAGGCATGCACCAGCATGTCCAACTAATTAAAAAAAAAAATTTTTTTTTTAGAGATAGGGTCTCACTATGTCGCTCAGGCTGGTCTCAAGCAATCCTCTTGTCTGACCTCTCAAAGTGCTGCATATTATGGTATGAGCCACCATGCCTAGCCTTGCTTGTGTTGTAAGCCAAGTGTTACTACAAAAGAGTCAAAAGTTAAAAAGAATTCAAAAGCTTAAGTAAAAAAGTTATAGGAAACTGGCTGGGCGCGGTGGCTCACGCCTGTAATCCCAGCACTTTGGGAGGCCAAGGTGGGTGGATCACGAGGTTAAGAGATTGAGACCATCCTGGCCAACATGGTGAAACCCTGTCTCTACTAAAAATACAAAAATTAGCTGGTGGTGGTGGCGTGTGCCTGTAATCCTAGCTACTCGGGAGGATGAGGCAGGAGAATCGCTTGAACCCAAGAGGCAAAGGTTGCAGTGAGCCAAGAGTGTGCCACTACACTCTGGCCTGGCGACAGAGAGAGACTCCGTTACAAAAAGAAAGAAAGAAAGAAAGAAAAAAGTTACAGGAAGCTAAAGTTAATTTATTTTTGAAGAAAGAAAAATATTTTTTCAGAAATTTCATGTAGCCTAAGTGTACAGTGTTTCTAAAGTCCACTATAGTATACAGCAATGTCTTGGTCTTTCACATTCATTCACCACTCACTGACTCACCCACAGCAACTTCCAGTCCTACCAGCTCCATTCATGGTTAAGTGCCCTATACAGGTGGACCATTTTAAGTCTTTGATATGTATTTTTACTGTACCTTTCCTATGTTTAGATACACAAATACCATTGTGTTAGAACTGTATAGGCTACAACTGCCTATGTTGTACATGCTAACACATGTAGCAACATATAGTTGCTACAACTATATAGGCAGTTGTAGCCTATACAGTTCTAACACAATGGTATTTGTGTATTTAGGACAGTAACATGTTGAACAGGTTTGTAGACTAGAAGCAATAGGTTCTACCATATAGCCTAGGTGTCTACTATGTATTTGTGTTAGTACACTCTTTGATGTTCACACAAAAGCCCTAACAACACATTCTTCAGAATGTATCCCTTTTGTAAAGTGACACATATCTATATATCTGTAGTTGGTCAAATACCCGAATCATGACACTCATTAGGGCTAGAAACTGAGTGGAAACAGGATGGGTTTCATTACCCTGGATAATGGCAATGACATCCCAAGGAAGGGGAGAGGGTGGTCTTTAAGATAAAGAAATTGTCGGTGTTATTAGTACATTAATAAATGCTTTTCTGAGTACAAAGCCAGAAAGGCAGACAGTAGGGTAATGAAACAGTTGAAGACATAAACAACAAAGGAACACTTTGTTGTTCTCTAACTACAGTAGGAAAAACAAGTCTAATTAAATTCAGGAAATACAATTGCTTTAATAATGCCAGAATTCTGACTCTGCCCATCAACCTCCAGAGGTAGGAGACATGACCCCATATAACTGGTGTTACTAAGGAGGAGGAATTTGATACTTAAACACGATAAAAATTAATCTACCATTTTTCCTTTTTTTAAAAAAAATATGTAATTTATTTTAGACTAATAAATCAAGTGTATTCCAGGGAGCAAAAGGGGTTCAGGTCACAAAATATTAAGGAAGTAATAGAAATCTTTTTCTTTTAATAAAGACAATAGAAGTATCCACTCAACAGGTATTTACTGGGTGCCTCCGGTGCATACAAGGTACTGTGAAAACCAGGCACTATGAAGCCACCAGTTAGGTTCAAGGAATGAAGCAACAGATTGATGTTTCTGACAAACTGACTTCAGTCGAAGTTGTATTTCTCATGATCTTGAGCTGAGAAAAAATGACTAAAAATGAAAAGAGGAACCAGAAAGAGGGTGTTTCAAGGCTCCTTTGGAGATAACCCTCTATTTTACACTACAGTTAAAAAGTTTAATTCCAAAATAGACAAAGCTCTCTAATCAACAAAGTCGTCTCGGGAAAAAAAAAAATCTTTTTTAGCCAATCATTCTAAGCACTTCTTACATTCACATACAAGAGCCGAGCGCCCTCCAAAAGGTATGACGCAGGGGTTTCTCAACACCACCTCCTGCTCTTTGGTAATTAATCTCGCTTTAAATCAGGCCCCAACTACCTCCTGGCGCCCACTAGATGCAGGGCCTGGGCTCAATGTTGTCGAACAAGCTTGATCTGTAGGCAACGGCGACAGCACGGGAGGCAGAGAGGGCAATTTGTTTTATTTATTTGATCCCTTTCTTAAGTTCAGGCAAACGAGGCCTCCTGCGGGTGAAAGGCAGGGCTAAAGGGAGACAGTGGACTTGGGACAAACCCCAGTTTCTCCCAGATTCGGGCTGCTCATTTCCGACTGCACCTCCCCACACGGGACCATAAGAAAAAAAACTCCCCTGAAAGTCGTTTGCAACGAGGGTCCGCCAAAGGTCACCCTCCACTCGCTCAGGCCGGAGGACACCGAAGCTGCTGCGGAAAGGAACCCGAGGAGCTCCGCCGCGCCCGGGGCCGGACTCCGGAGTGCAGGGGGTGCCCCTGCCGGGTTCTCAGCCCCGTCTGGGGGTGCTGCCCTTCCCCGCCAGCCCGCTCCTCACCGCGCGTCCCTCCCAACGCGGGCCTCGCGCACTTACCCCCGGTTAGGACCTTTAGGGATGAACCAAGGCACCAAGAGGCCGACGAAGCCCCAGAACACGCTCATCACAATGAGAGGCACCGTGAGGCCGTGATACGCCATGGTCGCCGCCCGAGCGCCAGCCCCGACCTCACTCCGTCTGACCCGGAAGTGTCAACAGCGGACCGCGTGACCGGCGTGCGGAAGCCCCGCCTCCCGAGCCCCCACGTGACCCGCGCGCCAGCCTCCGTCCCTCGCGGAGCCAAAGGCAGAGCCCCGCCCTCGCCTGGCTGACTCCCGGGTGCAGCTCCTTAGAGGCAGGTCTCTCACCCCAGAGCTAGGGGTTCGGTCACGAGGGGCTCAGCAAACTGTTCTGATGAGAACTTGGCCCTTTTAGACAGAGTGTAGTTATTTACAGCCTCATCTACTTGTGCAACAGACATATAGAGAACTTAACAATAATAACTTACTATTCTGAATTCCCTGTACCTGGCACTGGGCCGTGATGTTTAAGTGCATGAACCCACGGCCTGGTGCGGTGACTCAAACCTGTAATCCCAGCACTTGAGGAGACTGAGGCGGGTGGATCACTTGACGTTAGGAGATCAAGACCAGCCTGACCAAAATGGCAAAACCCCGTCTCTACTAAAAATACAAAAATTAGCTGGGTGTGGTTGTGTCCGCCTGTGGTCGCAGCTACTCAGGAGGCTGAGGCAGGAGAATCGCTTGAACCCGGGAGGCAGAGGTTGCAGTGAGCCGAGATCGCACCACTGCACTCCAGCCTGGGCAACAAAGCAAGACTCTGTCTCAAAAAAAAAAAAAAAAAGTGCATGAGCCAGTGTTGAACTCCTCACTTCAGCCTATGAAGTAATTATAATTATTATCCCCACTTTGCAGTTGAAGAAACTGAGGTCCAGGGAGGAGGCTAAGGATCTTGCCAAAAGTCACATAGTAAGTGGCATGGCCAGGATTCAACCTCTGATGATCTGATTTTCAAGGCCAGAGCTCTTAACTACTGCACCACTGTATCTCTTGTGCACTGTGCCAGGTTCTGGAATTACAGAAGTTAGTATCTCTGTATTATATATGTGGGCTAGTATTGGCCTATAGCTCCCTCTATCAGTCAATCTGTCAAAAGCAGTTTATCACACATCGAATGAAAACTGTCCCCGTTCAGTGACCCACCAAATGAAGAATTAGTCTCTGCCTTCAAGGTGCTAAAGTCTTCAGGAAACAAATACGACTCTGAGCAGTGCGGTCCAAGGACCCCTGGGGAGTCCCTGAGATCCTCCCAGCAGGTCTTTTCTAACTGTGACTCTTTGTAAGGCTGAATTTTCTTCCTGTAGTTCATCTAAAACAACATACCACAACAGATTGAATGCAGTAGTGTGAGAATGCATTTTTCTTCTATTGAGCCAGAGGTTAAGGAATTTTCCCAAAATGTCACACAATGTTACTCTTCCAACTACATTTTTTTTTTTTTTTTTTTTGAGATGGAATCTTGCACTGTTGCCACAGCTGTAGTGCAGTGGCATGATCTCGGCTCACTGCAGTCTCCGCCTCCTGGGTTCAAGCAATTCTCCTGCCTCAGCCTCCCGAGCAGCTAGGACTACAGGCGTTCGCCACCACACTCAGCCAATTTTTTTGTATTTTTAGTAGAGGCAGGGTTTCACTATGTTGGCCAGGATGGTCTCACTCTCCTGACCTCGTGATCTGCCTGTCTTGGCCTCCTAAAGTGCTGGGATTACAGGCATGAGCCACCATGCCTGGCCCCAACTACATTTTTTTGTATTTTTGGAAGAAACAGCAATTTCCCATATAAAGGTTATGTTAACATATTATGGGTTTCTTATTGCTCTTTTTATATTAATTTAAAATAAATATGTAATCCCAGCACTTTGGGAGGCCAAGGAGGGTAGATCATGAGGTCAAGAGATTGAGATTATCCTGGCCAATATGGTGAAACCCCGTCTCTACTAAAAATATATATATATAAATTAGCTGGGCATGGTGATGCATGCCTGTAGTTCCAGCTACTCAGGAGGCTGAGGCAGGTGGAGGCTGGTGGAGGCTGCAGTGAGCTGAGATTGTGCCACTGCACTTCAGCCTGGCCACACAGCGAGACTCTGTCTTAAACAACAAACCTATATAATGCAGTCATTCCAGGAAACAAGCTAAAAGCCCATGGCCTGAACTTTGATAAGTCCACCCATTTTGCATTTCCAATCTTGCATTCTCCAATCCCCATTTCCTGCAGCAGCTCCAAGACATCACTGTTGCCCTTAAACCCTTTCCTCTTTTCAAGAACCAGTATTTGTCTGAACTCCCTTGAGAAAAACTTTTCACTCTGTTCCTGTGAACAAACTGCATTACCAATCTCCTTTAAGAGATGATAGCTAGACCTTCCTGAGCACACTGTGCTTTATACGCAGTATCTCGAGTAATAAATCTGACAACTCTATGAAGTAAGCACTAATTTTATCTCCATTTTATAAATGACAAACCTGAGGCCCAGAGAGGTTAAGCAGTTTGCCCAGGGTCACACAGCTAGGAACTGACAGAGCTAAGATTAAAACGCAACTTGAGACGGGCGCAGTAGCTCATGCCTGTAATCCCAGCATTTTGGGGAGCCCAGGTGGGTGGATCACCTGAGGTTGGAAGTTCAAGACCAGCCTGACCAACGTGGAGAAACCTCATCTCTACTAAAAACGTAAAATTAGCTGGGCGTGATGGCGCCATGCCTGTAATCTCAGCTACTTGGGAGGATGAAGCAGGAAAATTACTTGAACCCGGGAGGTGGAGGTTGCAGTGAGCCAAGATTGTGCTATTGCACTCCAGCCTGGGCAACAAGAGCAAAACTCCATCTCAAAAAAAGGAAAAACTCAACTTGAGGCCTAGTTCCCACTCTTGATCATGCATTATTATTCACCTGGCTCAGCGGCAGCAATGTGGTATGATTTGGATGCCTACAGGGGATTGCAGCTCTCAAAGCTCTTATAGATCATTTTTGTTGGGATAAGTTGCTGAAAACAAGCCAAGTCTGACTCCTAGAAGATATCATAACTTAAATTTACGGATGAAAGTAATGGCCGGAATCTGGAGCTCAGACCAGGTATCAGACTATACCAGGCGTCCCCAAACTTTTTACACAGGGGGCCAATTCACTGTCCCTCAGACCGCTGGAGGGCCGCCACATACTGTGCTCCTCTGACCGACCACCAATGAAAGAAGTGCCCCTTCCTGAAGTGCGGCGGGGGGCCGGATAAATGACCTCAGGGGGGCCGTAGTTTGGGGACGCCTGGACTATACAGTAAGGAGCTATGAGTTTAGTACGAAATCTGATTTTCATGCAATTCTTAGAGTCCTAAATATGTATTGGTTGAGAACAAAGACAAGAATCAAATTAGAAAATACAAATTACAGAATTTACTGGTTCACCTACTCATACTCATTAGATACACAGCTCAGCATGTTAATGAGTATACAGCTGCTGTGTGGTGGACACCTACTCTGTTTTATTTATTTATTATTTTATTTTTGAGTCAGGGTTCTGCTCTGTTGCCTAGGCTGGAGTGCCATGATGTCATCATGGCTCACTGCAATCTTGACCTCCTAGGTTCAAACAATTCTCCCCACCTCAGCCTCCTGGGTAGTTGGGACTGCAGGCATGGGCCGCCATACCTGGCTAGTTTTTAAATTTTTGTTTGTAGATATGGGGTCTCACTATGTTACACAGGCTGGTCTCAAACTCCTGGGCTCCAGGGATCCTCCCACCTTGGGCTCCCAAAGTGCTGGGATTACAAGTGTGAGCCACCATTCCTGACAGCTTTTTACATAGATAGAAAAGCAGAAGATCAGAACAATGATCTCCCAAGGAAAGAGCAGGATCTGAATCCAAATCTGTCTGACTTCAGGGACAGGACAGTATCTGTCTACCCTGTCTACCTTGTATCAGTGAATTCAATGTATCAATGCCAAGTCAGAGAACACATCTTGAGTTTTGTGGTTTTTGAACTCATTGATTTTTTTCTTTTTATTTTGAGATAGAGTCTTACTCTGTCTCTCAGGCTAGAGTGTAGTGGTGCAATCTTGGCTCACTGCAACCTCCACCTCCTGGGTTCAAGTGATTCTCCTGCCTCAGCCTCCTGAGTAGCTGGGATTACAGACATGCACCACCAGGCCTGGCTAATTTTTGTATTTTTAGTACAGACAGGGTTTCATCATGTTGGCCAGGCTGGTCTCGAACTCCTGACCTCAAGTGATCCACTTGCCTCGGCCTCCCAAAGTGCTGGAATTAAAGGTGTGAGCTACTGTGCCCTGCTGAACTCACTTTCTTTTGTGAAAAATAATTGCCTCTGTGAGTGCAGAATGAATGTCAGTATTGGACATATAAGTAAACTGAATAGTGAAATTAACATTTGTATACTCACAGCTTTCAAAGAGTACTCAGAAATGGCATCCATCTGGTCTTGTCATTTTATCTTTGTATTTTTGATGAGATAGGAAGGCAGAGCAGGTATTATCATCTGTATGGAAGCCCAGAGATGAGTAACTTGCTCAAAGGCTGATGACTGCTCAGTGGCAGAGGGAATTAGACCTGGATGGCTGGTGGTAATTCTTTTCTCCATAAGTAGCACTACCGGCTGCAAACACATAGGTTCTTGCTTGTTCCACATAAATGTCCAGTCTCTTAACAGACTCCAGTGAAAAAAGGCTGACAAAGTAGCTAATGTGGGAAGTGAATGGCCTTTGATGCAATCATGCTCAGGTTCAAATCCTGGCTTTTTATGCTCTGATTTGGATGATTAACCTAAGTTCACTTTCTTCATCAGTCAAAATCGGAAACAACACTGATTCAATCAACATTTATTAAGAAACTCCAATGTGTCAGATAAGCCATTACTAGAAAGTCATAAAAGGCTGTTTGATACATTTTAATCGATAATTATTTTTTAGGCTAGTCATGATGGGTCATATCTAATTCCAGCACTTTGGGAGGCCAAGGCAGGAGAATTACTTGAGGCCAGGAATTTGAGACCAGCCTGGGTAACATACTGAGACTCCCATCTCTACAAAAAAAATTAAAAATTAGTTGGTGTGGTGGCACATGCCTGTAGTTCCAGCTACTTGGGAGGCTGAGGTAGGAGGATCGCTTGAGCCTGGGATGTCAAGGCTGCAGTGAGCTAAGATCACACCACTGCACTCCAGCCTAGGTGACGGAGCAAGACTGTCTTAATTTTTTTTTTTTAGGACAGGTGCAGTGGCTCATGCCTGTAATTGCAGCACTTTAGGAGGCTGAGGTGGGTGGATCACTTGAGGTCAGGAATTCAAGACCAACCTGGCCAACATAAAAAACCCTGTGTTGGTGCACACCTGCAATCCCAGCTACTTGAGAGGCTGAGGCAAGAGATTAACTTGAACCCGGGAAGTAGAGGTTGCAGTGAGCCAAGATCACACCACCGCACTCCAGCCTAAGCAACAGAGGGAGACTCTGTCTCAAAAAAAAAAAATTTTTTTTTTTTCAGTGACAGGATTTTAGATGTGACCCTGGAGATAAACTTAAAAAAATTTTTTATCCACTACCTACCTCTCAGATAAAGGAGCTAAATTTTTTTCCTAATTAAAAAAAATTATTTTTTGTAGAGTCGGGGTCACACTAGTTAACCAGGTCTTAAACACCTGGGCTCAAGCCATCCTCCCAAAAGTGTCCCAAAGTTCTGGGATTACAGGCATGAGTCACTGTGCCTGGCCAAAGGAACTAAATCTTTTTTTTTTTTTTTTTTGAGACAAAGTTTCACTCTTGTTGCCCAGGCTGGAGTGCAATGGCTTGATTTTAGCTCACTGCAACCTCCGCTTCCCAAGTGATTCTCCTGCCTCAGTCTGCCAAGTAGCTGGGATCACAGCCCTGTGCCACCACGCCTGGCTAATTCTGTATTTTCAGTAGAGACAGGGTTTCTCCATGTTGGCCAGGCTGGCTCGAACTCCTGACCTCAGGTGATCCGCCTGCCTTAGCCTCCCAAAGTGCTGAGATTATAGGTGCAAGCCACCACGCCCAGCCGGAACTAAATCTTGAATGAACGTTGGACAAGAAATCGAATGTGGGGGTCAATGAAGGCCAGGTAAGAAGGGTATGGTAGCAGAGCTGGTGGGATAGGGACCCGCCAAGCCCTCAGCTGCACTCAACACTGTGCAAAGCAGGGAGAGCCCTGTGCAGCCAGGTGAATCAGGTGATTCTCTGTGGAGTCTCCCACAGTTTAAATATTGGAAATTTTTAAAAATTATAAAATATATGGACAAAAAAACATTTGAGTCAAATCTTGCCTGTAGGCTGCCCGTTTCCCAAGTTAGTTTTAGAGGAAAAGGGGCAGTATAGTAGCATGAAAATGGCACCTGCAAAGTCAAAACTTTGGGAAGATGAGCTCGGTCAGGGAGCCGCACATGATAAAGCTGGGGAAGTGCAAGTCAGGAGGCCAGAGAGCAATCCATCATGAGAGGTGACAGTGGGGCCCTGAGTACACCAGTGCACGTTATGACTGCTGCGGAGTGGGGCAAATCCCGGCATCAAGGACCAGAGCCCCACTCTGTAATCCCAACACTTTTAGAGGCAAGGCCGGAGGTTCATTTGAGCCCAGGAGTTCAAGACCAGCCTGGGCAAGACAGAGAGACCTGTCTATATTTAAAAAAAAAAAAAAAAAAAAAAGACTAGAGCCCTGCCCTTTCTACTCCATTAGCACAGGGGTCCAGGCAAGAGGAGCGCTGTTTAACCCTACCCCGGGATTTTGCTGTTCCACACATTAAATAGGAAAGACTGGCAAAGGCGAATTGATAGCAAGTGGATTTTATTTATAAAACAAAGCAAATACCATTTGGAATTAGAAAGCATTTCCTATTTACATTCATAACATTATTAATCAAAATTGTAAAAGTAGATTTACAGAGCAACAGGTAACAAAACAGGAAATGAAACGTACCAGAGACATTCTGAAAAGTTCCAAAGAAACACACACTAGCCTAAAAATCTACAGTTAAACCATGGTTGCAAAACAGGTTATATTTATTCCTGCATTTTCTCAATAAGTTCTTCCTTATATTTGCCTTTCTCTTTTCCAACTTGTCGAGACTTGGCTTTGCGTTCAAGAATTTTTTTCCTATCCTTGTCCAGTTTTAGCCTGGTGATAACCACCTGTTGGGAGTGAGAAAATAGATCTTTATTTCCATATTCTTACCAGCTATTGAGCAATACAGACATCATAAGTTAAGTAAGACCTCAACCATTCAGCCTTTAAGGAACTGAAACTCTCGAGGGAAAACAGACCCTATAACAACACAGTATCAAAAAGGAACACAAAGGATAAATAGCATGTTCCACTAGGCAGGCATGAGGGTCACAGGAAGATATATTCTCTCTTATCCCACTGAATATTATATAGTGGGGAGGTGATGCCTGAACACTTGGAAGCCTCTTGCAGTTTAAAGACACAGCCATCACCAAGAAAGGCAAAACAGAAAAGAGAAAGAAAAATCTGGATTATTGATGACATCACAAAGCTACTGAATCAATTGAGCCCACCTGGCCTACCTCAGCCACCTGTGCAGGGAGTACCAAAACACCAATAATTGTAACAGTATCAACATAGTCCATGACTGCTGTTGCCACTCAGTCCTTGACCATACCTTGCTCGGGTGAATACCCACGTGGACTGTGGTGCCATTGGCCTTCTCACGCTGCACCCGCTCGATGTAGATGACGTATTTCTTTCTGTACACCTGGACTACCTTGCCAATCTGCTGCCCTTTGTAGTGTCCTCGAACTACCTAAGAGAAAATACAAAAGAGAATTCCCCTCCATTTGTAACACATGATCATAATGAGGAAGCTAACCATCAGGAACACATGGGCTAAACATACAATTTTGCACAAAAACAGCTTAATCCTGGGAGTCAAGAGTTAGCTATTTTTCTGGTATAAATCTGTGCTGTGTTATGTTGGCTGGAAATTTTTTCCCTGAATCCCACAAAAATGTGTGATATAGGCTTTAGAAAAAAAGGAGAATACAAACCTACATACAGAATACACTCTGAACTATATATGTATGTCAAGTATCCCTTATCCAAAATGCTTGAGACCAGAAGTGTTTTGGATTTAGGGTTTTGTGGGATCTTGGAATATCTGCATTAGTAGCTAAGCACCCCAAATCTGAAAATCTGAAATCCAAAAAGCTCCAAAGAATACTTCCTTTGACCATCACATTGAGACTCAAAGTTTCAGATTTTGGAACATTCTGAATTTGAGATACTCAAACTGTATGTGTGTGCATGTGTGAATATGTATTTATACGTAATATATATGTATATATATGTCACATATATGTATATATGTGTATATATGTCACATATATATAAAAACACATTTCATGTATATATAGTATGATGCAGTGTGATGAAAATATATATAAATATCGGTAACAGCTGCCATTAGGTAGGAAGTACCCTTAGCTTTCCATCCCTCTCAAACATCTATCCCCTCATCATCTTTAAAGCCAAGCTCCTTTGGACTGTCTTTTCTCACCTTCACCTTCTCACCTGGTACACTCATCACCTTACTGTGTAAGCGACTTCCATCCCACCACTCACTGAAGGCATTCCAGCCACAGCCACTGGTGCTGACCTTGTTGTCAGATCTGTTAAATACCTTATCCTCTCTGTACTTGATGGTTCCACAGAATTTGACATTCTTCTCTTGGCTGCTTTAACACCACACTTAACATGGTTTCCCATTCTCTCTGGTCACATTAATCTCTTAGAAGCTCTTCCAAAACAAGGAAAGAAGGTTTTTGCTTGGTTGACATACTCTTTCATTAAATTTTACTATTATTATTAAATAATTAAATGGTCTGAAGCAATGAAGGCACTCTCTGGTGGCTCTGACCCCTACCTCTGGCCTAACATATCTGAAGGGTCACACTACTTGCCATAGTCCTGAGGCATGTGAGTCTGTGACTGCCCCACGGCCATGAACACATGACCTTCTCAGGCAAAGGTGTCTGAGCACCACCAGCGCCGGAGGTAGACGTACCTGGACCTCGTCATCCTTGCGGATGGGCATGGAGCGGACATTGTACTTCTGCCGCAGCTCCTTGGAGAGCGGGGATGACATGATCTTCCTGCGCACGTGCGAGGGAGCATTGAAGTGACGTTTGCGGTTTTTGCTGCGGTCCGAGGTCACGAAGGGATTGAACTTCATGGTGACCCTCTACAAAGGGCAGAGAGAGAGGGAATGAAGGTGCGCTCCGTGGGTTACAGGGGCCTCTTCTCGACCCAACACACGTCTCCCCATCCCCGCACAAAGGCTCTACGGGGGAGGTGGCCTCTGAAAAGGCAACTGAGGGAGGAGAAAGGGACATGTGAGTGGTCGATCACATAAAGTGAGACGTGTGTTGGTCACATACTGACAAAGGGGTCGTGGGGAGAGGTTGGTACAGGGACCCAGAGGCTGAGGAAGGAATGTTAGGATTAGGCAGCAATGAATGGTCGGGAGGTCACGCAGAGAGAGCTTTGGGGTGGTATGGGTCCCCGCGACACATACGGGAAGGTCTCGCAGGGCAGTGGGCTTCAGAGTCCGAAAAAAATCTCCAGCCTCGACTCAGCCGGCTGTCAGCGGCCTCAGGACGCGAGCACACAGGGCCGGAAGTGAGGCTTCCTTGCCGCGCAAGCGCAGAAAGATAGCGATGCCTCATTTCCGTCGGAGTGAAGCAGAATGGCGCCCTCTGCGGCTTGGGGTGGGATCGCAGCGTCTCATTCCTAGGTCTCTCACCTACTGCACACTCTCTTTGCCCGCGTTTCCCTCCGCAGAGGAGGCTCCAGAGGTCGTCTAGGCGTATATAGATTGTCTGGTGTTTTATTTATTTTTTATTTTATTTGTCGAGATAGGATTTCACTCTGTCGCTCAGGCTGGAGTGCAGTGGTACAAACACGATTCACTACGGCCTCAACCTCCCAGGCTCAAGCAATCCTGCCTCAGCCTCCTGAGTAGCTGGAACTACAGATGTGCGTCACCACACCGGGCTAATTTTTTTAATTTTTATTTCGCAGAGATAGAGTTTCACTGGGTTGCCCACGCTGGTCTCAGACTCTTGGGCTCAAGCAGTCCTCCTGCCTCGGGCTCCCAAAATGATGGGATTACAGGCTTTGGTCACCATGCACCGCCTGCCCTGTGTTTTAAACATTATGAGGCTCCAAATGCCATCTGTAGAGCAGCTTCTTCAGAATCACAGAGCAGCCTGCTCAAAATACAGATTTTCAGGCCCCACCACAGTCCCGCAAAACCAGATAGTGGTAGGATAGGGACACATCTGAATTTAAAGCAGCATTCTTCCCCTACCCTCCAAGATTTGGAGGTGCACTAATGCTTGAGGATTACTGTGATTCAAAAACCTGGCTCTGCAAAACTTTCCCCTAGTTGTTTAGCCCTGTTCAGAAGAGTGGGGTTTTAGAATCAGACTGGACCCAAGTACCTCTTCCTTTGGCTGGTCCTAGGGTGACTGCCCACCACCCCCTCCCTGCCATTTCAGTCTTGGTTTTCTCTTTTTTTGTTTTTTTGAGACTGAGTTTCATTCTTGTTGCCCAGGCTGGAGTGCAGTGGCATGGTCTCAGCTCACTGCAACCTCCCCCTACCAGGTTCAAGCGATTCTCCTGCCTCAGCCTCCAGAGTAGCTGGGATTTCAGGCGCCCCCTCACCATGCCCAGCTAATTGTTTGTATTTTTAGTAGAGACAGGGTTTCACCATCTTGGCGAGGCTCGTCTTGAACTCCTGACCTCAGGTGATCTGCCAGCCTGGGCCTCCCAAAGTGCTTCGATTACAGGCGTGAGCCACTGTGCCTGGCCAGTCTTGGTTTTCTTGTCTATAAAGTGGGGATGATCTTAGTAGGTACTTCATAGGTTTGCTATGACGATTAAATAAATTAATCCCTTTAGAGTGTTTGGAACAGTGCCTGGCACGTAGTACTATTTCTTCTTTCTTTTTTTCTCGTTTCTTTTTGAGACAGCATCTAGCTCTGTCTCTCGGGCTAGCGTGCAGTGCAGTGATCTCTCACTGAAACCTCTGCCTCCCAGTCTGAAGCCATCCTCCCCACTTAGTCTCCCAAGTAGCTGGGACTACAGGCAGTCGCCACCACGCCGGACTAATTTTTGTATTTTTTTTTGTAGAGTCAGGGGTGGGGGGGGTCTCACTTTGTTGCCCAGGCTGGTCTTGAACTCCTGAGCTGAAGCCATCCGCCTGCCTTGGCCTAACAAAAGTGTTGGGATTACAAGCATGAGCCATAGCGCCTGGCCAATGCTATTTCTAATAAAAGGAGAGGCCTATGTGTGGGGCTTGCTCCAGGACAGACCTAAGGCTGGACTTCACATTAACCTGAGTCCTCACATTCAGACTCTTATCATCGCTTCTCGATGATGCACACTGCAAGCTTTCCGTGTGCAATGCACCAAAGTAGCTGGGGCTCCGGGTGTCCTACCCCTACCTTTTTTTTTTTTTTTTTTTTTTTTTTTTTTAAGCGTCTGGGTTTCATTGTGTCACCCATGCTGAAGTGCAGTGGTGCAATCATAGCTCACTGCCGCCTTGAACTTCTGGGCTCAAGCAATCCTCGCTCCTTAGCTTCCTGAGTACTGGGACCACAGGCCCCCAGCACCACTGTGCTCGGCTGTTCATCTACTTAACTCCTGGCCTCAAGAGATCCTCCCCACCTCGGCCTCCCAAAGTGTTGGGATTACAGGGGTGAGTCGCCGCCCCCTCCCACCTCTACTTTTTTCTGTCTCTGGGATTCGGCGGCCGCCGCACGCCTGCGGGTTTGTGACCGTCGCCCCGCCCCTCTCCTCTAGACCACGCCCCTCTCATGCAGACCCCGCCCACTCCGGCCTCCCCGCTCCCACCTGTGGCCCTCGTGGCCCTTTCTGCCAGCACCTGGCCCCGCCGAGTCTCTCCCGAGCTCCGCGTTTCGTCTGCCGACCTCCGGAGGCATGCCTCGAGGCGCGGGCGCCACCCAACCACTGGCTAGGCCCATACTGTCCGCAGACCCGGGTATAAAAGGTCTCCGGTCGCGGTTGCCCTGTGAGGGAGACGACAACCACGCCCTCTCCGTGGTCACCGTGGTGGCGGAGAGAGAGGGCTCTGAGCCTGGGCTTTCTTCAGGTTAAGAACCCACGGGGTTTATTCTATGCAAGGTATTATTTGTTCACCAATTTTAGCCCTCCCTTTCTTTGATTCATTCCATACCTATTGAACGCCAACTTAGTGACAGATGCCGGGATGCTGAAACTCCGAGAGGAAGATGTCTTGCAAGCCAAACATCCACACTCAGGCAGGTCGCGTGCTCTCTCCTAGTTTATCAGTGTTCCCTGACGTGTGGTAGTGAAATTGTTAAACAGCCGCGGCCGGGCGAGGTGACTCACACCTGTAATCCCAGCACTTTGGGAGACCGAGGCGGGCGGATCACGAGGTCAGGAGTTCGAGACCAGCCTGGCCAACATAGTGAAACCCTGTCTCTACTAACAATACAAAAAAAAAAAAAAAAAAAAAAAAAAAAGCTGGGCGTGGTGGCGGACATCTGTAATCCCAGCTACTCGGGTGGCTGAGGCAGGAGAATCGCTGGAATCTGGGAGGGGGAGGTTACAGCGAGCCAAGATCACGCCATTGCACTCCAGCGTGGTGGACAGTGTCTCGAAACAAACAAACAAACAAAACAAGAAAAAAAAAACCACCCGAATTTACTAATACTAGGTTTTGTTCTGGGCCCCTCACAGTCAGTTGGAGACCTCTGGAGAATGGCCACACCTGGGCTGTTTGCAGAAGCCTGGGCAGCAGAGCAAGCAGAGTCAAAGCAGGTGAGGCAGTATCAGCTGAGGGACCACCCAGCTGTGTGTGTACCCAGGCTCCAAGAATAAGGAGGTTGGGGGGCAGTCCTAAGAAAGGAAGTCATTGCCCATCAGCAACCCAGGAGCAGATGCTGCTGTGAGGGTGCACACACAGAAACGGTCAGAGGTTCTCCTCAGAACAGTCTTTAGGTGTTAGTCAAACCCATACCCCACCCCAAGAAGTTCATTCATTCCCTCACTCACTGGCTCTCTCTGTTCATTCACTCACTTCTCTATCACATATCCATTTATTGTCATTCACCTACTTATTTACTCATACATTCATTTATTTGCTCATCAATTTATTTGGTACTTACATGGAGCCCGGTGCAAGGCTTGATTTAAGAGATCTAGGGAGGAGTGCGCCCAAGAAGCTCAGAGCCTCACTGGTGAAGGAAAGTCATGTGAGGACAGATCTGGAGAACCCAAGATCTTCAGGGAGTATCTATGATTAAGCAGGGTAGGGAAGGCTTTTTGTTTTGTTTTTAACATGCTGTGTGGTTCAGTAACATTAAAACAGGCACAATGACATCCTAGATGACAAGAGCTGGAGGCACTCATTCTAATGATGTAGTGGGACTGGCTGTCTTGTCTTATGCCCAGCCCTGGAAACATGTGCAGGCACTGGTATAGAAGCTCAAGCACCTAGCACAGAGGAAGTGTCTGGTGAGTATTTTTATTTTTTGGAGGCAGTGGCTACATGGGGATTTGCTTCAGCTCTGGCACCCAAATCAGCTTGGGTTTGGATCTCTGCCACTTCCTGGCTCTTTGGCTTTGAAAAAGATATTCAGCATCTTGGTCACTCACTTTATTCCTATCTGAAAAATGGGAAGAATGACAGGACTTACCTCATTGGTTTGGTGTCAGGATTTTTTTTTTTTTTTCTTTTTTGAGAAGGAGTCTCGCTCTGTCACCCAGGCTGGAGTGCATGGTGCTATCTAAGCTCATTGCAACCTCTGCCTCCTGAGTTCAAGTGATTCTCCTGCCTCAGCCTCCTGAGTAGCTGGGACTACAGACATGTGCCACCACGTCTGGCTAATTTTTGTATTTTTAGTAGAGACCGAGTTTCACCATATTGGTTAGGCTGGTCTTGGAACTCCTGACCTCAAGCAATCCACCCGCTTCAGCCTCCCAAAGTGCTGGGAATACAGGTGTGAGTCACCACACCCAGACTGGTGTCAGGATTAAATGAATCCTAGTACAATGCCTGGTACAGAGGAAGAACTTAATAAATGTTAGAATTTATTTATTTATTAGATGAATAATCATGGCTCTTCATAATGGGCTGAGCATTTACTGTCAGGCATTGTGCTAACAGGTTTACAAGGATTAGCTCATTTCAGTCTGTCAAATAACAGTATGAACTGTCCCTGTTACAGGTGAGAAAACAGGCTCCGAGTGAGATGGGAACAAAGGATGGACATTAGATGCTCGATATGGTTATTATTTGTTATCTCGCAGCCAATAAAGATAATGCGATCCATATTTATTAGCCTAGGAAGATGTCTATTAAGTGAGGGCTATGCTACACAATAATGTGAACAGTACCATCCCATTTTGCTTATCAAAAGGCATCGCTAAAATGTGATCATTAAATGATCATCTCTGATTAGTGGGATTATGGGTGACTTTCATTTTCCCCTTTTACTTTCATTTATATTTTATGATTTTCCTCGAGGGGGCTTGCGAGCCTATTTGGTGTAATTAAAATTACATTTTGAAGACTAAAAAATTTTAAGAATGCTATCCCTGCTAATGTTTAATTTAGATTTTCTCCGCAGGTTGTTTTAAAA